GTTTAATATAAAAAATAATTCCCATTCAATTGCCGCACTTCGTTTTAGATTTATTTTAATTTAAAATAATATTTAATAAAGAGAATTATTTTTATTATATTAATAAAACTATAGCCGACTTACTATAGTAATACAATAGTTAAATATTTCTTCTTATAGCCAAAATAAAGATTACATACATATACCTAAGAATATACTAAACTATAATATTTTATTAAAAATTTTTAAATTTAATCCATATGCATGCATATTTATAATAATTATTATTAAATTTATATATATATATTATTTAATACGTATTTTATATAATTTAACGACATAGATATATTAGTAAATTTTGGAAGATAAAATTTTGCTAAGTATTGAAATAAAAGCAAAAATATTTTATAATTAACACTAAATACTTAATTATTAAATCTCTTTAATTTATAACACTCTTAGAAGCACTATTTATTTCTTAATACATATAATATATATACATATAAATGTATATTATTTGATTTTTATAAAATTTGTATTTTTATTCCCTAATAATTTTTTTGTTGTTAATTTTTATATTCATATATTGTAAATATTTGCACTGCACATATTATTGATAATAATAAATTTATATATTTCAAAATTTAACCTACATGTAATATTCATAAAAAAGTTATTTTAATATTAATTTTTAGGTAATTTATTTTTTATCATTTTAGATAATTATTTTAAGAAAGAAGAATATTAATGCCTTATTAGAATATTTATTAAACTAATCATTTAAATAAAAAGTGATTATAAAAATAAATATAAAAGAAAAAAATTTATATATATATATATTTATATATATATATCTAACGTATGAAAAATTGAATGTTAATTTAAAACAAACATGTATTTATTTTGATATTTAAGAAAATTATTAAATCATTAATCATTATTAAAAATATAAATTTGTTATATTATATTATTTAATATATTTAAATTTATATAAGTAATATAATCAACAAAGAAAATCTAGAGCAGATTAACAAAGAAAGTTAAAGTTATTTAATTTTTATGAATTTGATTTTTTTATTTAATTATAAGTTTAATTTATATAAGCATATCCACGCAGATCGCCAACTATCATTATCATTATAAAGTATGAAGTATTTGATTATAATTTTAATCTATATAAACATTACGAAGTACTTCGCAATTATCATTAAATTCTTAAAGATTCTAAAAATGGAGTCATTTAAACAAATTAAAGAATTTTGTATTTCAAAATGATTAAATATTATAAAATTAAGTTAAATAAAAATTTGAATAAAAAAATGTTAAATTTGTAGTATGGAAGCTATGTAAGTTGAATTACTAAATTTAATAACAAATATATTTTAAATAACACGAGAAATATATTTAAAAAAAAATAAATTTTAATTTTATTTTATTTAAATTTAAAAAAGCAGATAATATTGTATATTATTGAATATAATATTCAGGATTCATATAGAATCAGAATTAGGATTTTTTCTAATATTAAAAAAATTTTAGAAATTAAATGTTAGTAAAAATTAAAAAAACTTTCTTGTATTGAAAAATTTTATTTTTTTAAAAATTAAATACAGGTAAAAATAATATTTTTTTTATTTTGAAGTAAGAGTTATGTGTTCTAGATATATGAAAAGTTAAATAAAAATCAATTTAATTTTATAATGAATAAGGTAAAATGAAATAACTGCAGGATGTATATATTGCTTATTATTTATTATAATTTTTTTAAATTTATGCATGTTTTTCAATAAATTTATTTTAAGTTTTTATTACAGCACCCTTAAACACAAAAGCGAAATTAAATAAAATATCACTCTCACTCTCAGACTTATGCGAAAATGTTAATATTTTTAATTTAAATGATCTTTTATTATGTTCAATTATTTTAACTATATTATTAAAAATCCTTAAAGCAAACATATATTTAAATTTAAAAACACTTTCCATATAATTTTTTGTATTGTTTTATTATATATTTGATTTATTTAAATTATATTTATAAATTAACTTAAATTATTGTTTTTTTTTTAATTTTCAAGTATAAATTAATATAAATTACAATTAACGATTTTTTATTTATATTAAAAACTTAATAACTAAAATAATCTTTTCTTTCTTCCTGCATGACGGTTCTCTGTACTTTTTTCTATAAATTTTATAAAAATATTTTTTGATTTTATTGTTATTTTATTAGGTGGTTGTTGTAATTTAAGGAAAACAGATTCGTCCTTTCTACCTTCTCATTTATATAAACAATATTTGTATTAACTTGAGTATGTTATTGAATATATAATTGTATTTATGTATATAATTATATTTAATTACAAAATGTTTGTAACGATTTAATATTATTTTGATTTGTTAAATGACATTGTTTGTGTGGGCTCGGTGTCCTTACAGCTTACAGCAGAAGTCTCGTAAATTCTGAAAGAATAAAAAAAATTTTTATTTTTTAATTAGGTGAATAAAATTGAAACTAGTACTTATTGCAATTAAAAAAAATATTTCTGTTAAATAATTTTTAAAATAGTATATGTATTGAATAATTTCTAAAAAAAATAACATAAATACATTTTTATTTATTGAAATTAGTTAGTATACATTTTACATATAAGTTAATTTGAGATATTACAATTGTCGTTTTTAAAAAATGAATTTACATGTATTTATGTGTTTTTACGAAGCATAAGTTACTTTTTTTAAATTTTTTTATATTATATATATTATTTTTTATATTATACATATAGAAATAATATTAAAATATGCAAACATTAATTTTAGTTTTTAATTTTAAACAAAAATAAAGTCATTATGCAAAGATCCACTAACAGTGTATTTGATATTTAAATATTTAGAATAACATATTCAAAATCACCTTATTTTTATAATATAAAATAAATATAAATGTTATTTTAAGTATATAAAAAGTTAGTGAACTACAACAACTCTCTCTCTTCTCTTAATTATTTTATTTATTGGATTTTGTTATATTTATCGATGATTTTGGCAGCTTAGTGTTTGGATTTACCATCTCTGGTCTTGGAAATAATAATATAATAATATTTCTTTATATTAATGCAATATCGAATTCAGAAAAAATGTGAGGCCTATAACCATAACAACTTTGTGTTTGAAGTAATTTGAATTTTTTAATAGACTTTAATTTAACTATTGTATTTTTAGACCAAAAACCTATAAATAATATAAGTTTGTTTAAAATTATTAACTGAAATTAGAGTTTTATTTATTTTAATATAATCTAAAAGCTATAAAGAACGACTAAAAGTCCGACATAAAAAAAGAAATGTTATATATTACATATAAAAAATTGAACTCGATAATAAATAAATGAATTTGACTTTATTTTACATTTTTAATTTAACTTTAATTGTGAAACAAAACCAGACTAGACACTTCCCAACACTATCAAATAACTAATCAATCATGGCACTCGACCGTGCCAAGCTTTCCCTTTTATACGTATTTCTGTATTTCTTCATTATATGGATTTTATGTTACAATATTGCCAGAGTCACCTTTATTTCTTTAGCTTAAAACATGAGTTTTGTAGATATTTCCAATACATTGTAACAACCTATGATAATAATGTCAAGGAATATATTCGGTAATGTTTCTAACTATCAAAAACGAAAGGTTTGAAAGGATTAAGACTTAGATAAATATATATGTAGAAAATTGAGCAGAAAAATATGCTTAGTAGGTGAAATGTCTTGTTTGCTGTCTCAGTCCGTCTGAACAAAATCCTCGGTAACAGTACCATCTCATCAGTCCGAAGAATAGAAGTTGGTGTTCATTTTCACGTCTGACAAGACTAAGTCCTTGGTGCTAGCAGTGAAAAGGGTGGGACTCTGCAGAAACCCTCCAGCTATCAAAGAGTAAAAGTGTGCAGATACACTAACTCCAAAAAGACTCAACATGAATATGAACTCATTTTCTTTTTAACAGAAAATGCCTTCTTTAAAATTCACAGAAATTTCAATAGTTTCAATAGTTGGTCTGAAAAGGGTATTAACTTTGTTTATATTTCGTCAACTGAAAATGAATTTATATCTAAATATTAAAGAGTTAACACTAATAAGTATAAATAAACTATAAAATTATATAAACTATAAATTGTTTTAATAAATAAACAGTTTCAGTCATTAACTTTATTTCTACGAATCAAGAAAGGCTCTCGTTATTGAAGTTTTTGCACAGACAATCAATAAATAAGGACAATTATGCTTTTCGTCGAAATTTGTGAAAGGACATAAAAAGAGTTATTCTAACAAAGTTTACTTAAATTAAATTTATTAACAAAGTTTGTCTACTTTTAAGCCATTATGCAAAATTGTGTTCGTTATATTAAATAATTTCCTATTTCTTTCGCATGTTTATTGAATTCTAGGCACGATCCTTGTCATTTGAGAGGTCAAACACGTTTTTCTCATAAAAGTGAAAATCTATAAAATGAATAAAAAGAAAATGGCGTGACTTCACTTTTATTTAATTTTTTTTATTTTTTTTTTGTTTTGTATTAATTTCTTCCGTAAAAATGCGCAAGAAATTAAAATTTCTTTCAATCGATGAAATTACTCTACTGCGTTTTGAAGTAAAATATTTGAAACTTAACAAACTTTTATCGAGTCATTAAAATTAGAAAATAGTAAGACGTTTATTTTTATTATTTGTAGTGGATAATTGTTCAGTAATAAAGATTTGAATGATATAAAAATAATTCAAAAAATATTAAAATTAAATATACGTTATCTTCTGTACTAGCTATAAAGACATATTCTGTAAAGAAAGGGCAATTTTTAAGTATTTGTAAAGGAAAAAATATTTTTTATTCCACAAGATTAAAAATTTTTTTTTAATAAAAATTGAATTTTAATGTAATGGATATTTAAGTAACGTTTAAGTATGTGAAAATAAAATAGTGTTGAGCATTTAAGGTTCCCAACATCGAAGTATGCTAAACTTGATTGATGATTCTTTATTCTTGATTCTGTCAATTATTAGAAGGAAATGATTATATTAGAAAAATAATAACAGCATTGTATGGTCAGCCAAATTTCAATAAAGTAAAAATAAAATTTTTGTCCTTGTCTTTTCTGTGCTATTCGAATCCATCTAATTTTTAAATAGTTTATTTTCGTCATAAAGACGTGTCACAGCAAATTAATAAATATATATAAATAAACAGATAAAATATTGAGTTTTTGTTTTGTCTTTCTATTACAAAATAAAGTGATACAAACCTAATCGACAATTTAATAACAATAGAATAGAATTTTATTGCTCTATTTAGATCTAAAATTGTAAGAATATATTACGCAATATATTTAATAAATTAACTATGTGTTTAAATGAGTAAATCCTATCTAATTAATAATTATTAAAGTAAAAGCAATACCATTACCTCTTCTCTGCAATCTATTTTATCGTTAACACAGTATAATTATTATAATTAGTAAAATTTCTTGAATACAGATCACAGATTAATTTCTCTAACTTTTAAAAATACGTAAGAATACCCAATTCAGATTACCATATTTGCAGTTCTAAGATGGAGTGGGAAGTCCGCTTAGAAATATTTTTAGTTGAAAAGGATATAAGAAGACTCTATCTCTTTTTAGTTCAAAAGGATATAGAGAGATCGATAACCGATCCGAGCTCGTCCGGTGTCTACCGAATTATAATTTCAGAAACGAATACACAAAATCAATAGATCACAATTTATTGATATACTGATGCTATCCAACAATACTATAAAAGCAAGTAAAACTGTGAAAAACTCAACTGAGGTCAGTGAGTTGTCAGTGCACAACAACATTGATCTGGTTTCCAGAGCATCTATTCTTAGTACATGACTATTCTTAGTACAATACTGTTGCCTTTAAAAGCTTTCTTATAGTAACAGAACATATATAAGTGAAAAAGTATGATAGGCTAAAAAAAACCCAAATTCCTATTATCACTCTATAATTTATCGAGAAAGAAAACTTACTGCGCAGAGTCAGGATCGAAGTGACAAAAATTGATGACAGACCATTGGTTAATGGATATTATTTTCAACCAAAAATGCTGAAACTGCAAAGAGGAAGCAAAAAAAGAAAAAACAACTTAAGACTTTCTTTACAAATACCAACGCCTGGCAAGACTAAAATATTCCAATATGGAGGTTAGGTTAGGTTGGAGTGACTGTCTTATACATCAAAGCGTACTTGAGTTTTCTTAAATACTTAATACTTAACAGTATTTAGGCTAAAAAATTGTCGTTTTGTTACTGAAAAATTCCATTTAAAAGGAGTCCTCCTCTCTCATTATAAAACCCATAAACAACCTTATAAGAGTATAAAAGTTATTTTAAATAAGGTCTCCAGTACTTAAAAATTATTGACTATATTTATAAGATCTCTATATGACTGGAAAATATTGTTATCTCTATATGTCTGCATATTTACTATATGTTGAGTACGAAGAACGGTTTATCTGAGAATACCTGTTTTAGAAGAAAAAGAGTGTTATTTAAACGATTTTAACAGTATCTTAAAATGGTAATATCTATAGTACTTATGAAACGGATAGCCTAGAAAGTATTAAATAAGTATATGATTAAATTAATACGAGTAAGGAACATTCGCATAATTAACAACATTACTTATTCAAAAATTAAAATCTTTGTAATATTCAAAAAAAAAATTACTTTATTATTACTTTATTAAATTATTACTTTATCTAACTTATCGCATGATGAAGCATTGGAATGTATAAAAAGGATGTACAAATTCATGCTTTCTTATTACATCAATACAATATATATTATATGAATATAAGTTAATAATGCATTAACTTATAAGAAGTTTTGCCTTCATATATAAAGTTATTATTGCATGTTTAATTGCAAATTAATTCAAAATTAAACTCATCATAATTTGTTCCATTGACTTTATTAAAATGAGTTTAGGTTTAAGAAGTTATAAATGATATATGTTATGTATAATATGAAATTCCTTATGGCAATAGAAAAATATTAAGTCATACAAGGTCATATAATCATATACCGAAACCTACATGGAGACCCAACAAATTTCCGTTAACTATGCACAAGCAACAGAATTCAGTACGAATGGAACCACCCATGGAGGTAACATGGAGCACGAGCAGATACAATAAATCAATTTAATGTCACACAAGGGACTCTTAGTGACTTCCAATGCTACAGGTATGTGTTGAATGTAGTAAACAAGTGAAACTAAAGCTAAAAACGTGACTATCCTGACATCGTTTTCATCTCATTTTGTATTAAGTAAATGTTTGCGTTTTGCTAACCAGACACGAAACTTGATGCGGGGACTGTAAGCAGTATGTAAGAGGATTGTAAGCATTTTTAATATCTCAAATTGCAAGCAACCGTATGAGTTGCCTTCATCGAAAAAGGTTAATAAACTGCAAGAGTTAGAATATTCACGACACAATCAAAGTTGTTATTGGTATTTGAACAGCTAATTAATTCCACTAGTGGTAATACAATAGCCTAGCAATGGACTACTTCATGCTGTAGTATGGCGTTTATTAGCAAATAGTAATTAAGAACACACACGTTAATGATGCAACATTGTCTGCCATATTGGGTGTCCACAAATTAGAGAGGAAAATAATTTTGTGTAGTCTTTGTTGTTAATTACACACTTCATTCTAATCAAAAATTCGTAATATTATACTAGTGAAGGGCATCCAAGGTACTCAGCTGTATGAAATTGTCAATAAGAACTACAATAGAATTAACAAAAAGTTTGTACATATGTATATAATGAACAATTTACATACATATATAGTTTTTGTATTAAAGACTAGGTTTTATTTGTTTGGGAAATCTTGTATATCTTTAATATAAAAATTGTAGAATAATATTAAATGCTGATACCTATGAGTACGTATATAACAGATTTCATCTAATAACATTGACTCATGCCACACTTGTGTTAAATTAGGGATTAAAATTACTTTTTATAACAGTTTTCACACAGTTTAATGATTTTAGGGGATTAAAAATATACTCATGCTTTGATCCTTTTGAAAAAGACATGACACCAAAACATGCACAATATTCTTCTTTTTTCATATTTTACTATTTTCTATTTCACATTTACACGAGCACTTTATTTCTAATACCAGAACGGAACAGTGTATAGCGAAAAAAAGAAAAATTTCATATTATTTTCCAAAATGTTTTTATTCCTTCTCTACACATACACATACATAAGCTGAATGCATGTATACCAATTTTCATTCACCAGAATTTATCAAGTGTAGCCAGAACTGTACAGTACTGATTACTTTTGTAATCAGAATATCCTCAATTTCTCATTCCAAGTTAATAGAAATTATGCATTGAGTTGCGAGATTACAAGTCGAATTGGAATTCGAAAAACCCAATTCCTAAACATAAGGACTTAGAATTGAGAATTAAGATTAAGATTACAATTGAAATTAGAATTGAAGAACCCAATTACTAATTCAGGTAATTTGCAAAAGTAATTAAACGAAGAAGAAGCATCGAAACTTTTGACCAACTACAAATTTATTAGATTTTATATCTTCCGATGATACCTAATCCCGCAACTTAATTACTAATTTCAATTCCTTGTACTAAGGAGCTTTCAATTCCAATTTCACTTGTAAACTTGCAACTAATTTCACAATTCTAATTACCCTGTAATTGTAATTGACAATATAATTGATTTGAGTGTAGCAAGCATCAAAAATTAATGCACCAGAGTTAATTCGTAAAAATTGCTCAAATGTGGCAGGCATATGTAAAGTTTAAAATTTACCTTCATAGTTAATTCTGCCATCCTGATCCAAATCAGCAATAGCTAATAATTGTGTGAGTTGAGTTTCTGTGAGCGGTTCACCAATCATTTCCATAGCAGTTTGCAGCTCATCACGTGTAATGAAACCGTTGCCATCACGATCAAATACCCTACAAATGAAAGAATATATTTAAATCATATTTTGAAAAAAACTGTTCAAGTGTTCTAAATAATGAAAGACATTTTACAAGTTTCGTTCCAAAAAAATCTATATAGTTATTTTTACCATATCTGTTGATGAATTTTCTATCATTTATAGTTTTTGAGATACATATTTAAAAAAATGGAATTGACCATGTTTGTGTCCAAATTTAGAAGTGTTTCGGTATGCTGTATTCAAAATATATTCAAATGAAAGCCTCTCTCATGTTAAGGATAACTTCATTTTAATATCTCTACTGGACCAGAAAATACCAAATTTTAGTTAATTTTGTTAAAAAAAAATTATTAAAATATAGGCTTATAGAAATAAAGCAATTTCTTGATTTTACTTTTAATAATAAATTTATTTTTATATTTTAATTAATATTAAATTGCTTTTTAAAGTCCGTTTTGACGAAATTAACTAAATTCTTAATATAAAGTATTGTTTTCAAAAGAGAGGTTTGACGAACATTATTAAATTACAACAATAAAATTTTTTTATTTTATTAATTAATTTAACTTTTGAATTTTGTAAATACCTATCATCAGTGATCATGATGAGTGATCAGTGATCAATAATTGAACTAATTAACAATATAATATTAATTAATATAAATTAATAATTGTAAATATCTGAATTGAAATGCGAAAGCGGTTCCGAGGGGAAATAAATCTCGCCGAAGTGGGAAACTTTTAGTCCGTATACTACATATTAATGTTAGGGAGTCGGACACACCATTCCAACGACGGTCGGTGCATAGAGCATTCCACCTTCTCGCCACAAAAAAAAAATATCTGAATTGAAAAGGAATTTTTTCTAAAGTGTTAAATTTACATATTAAGAATTATGTGTAAAACTCTATATTCTATAGAATAAAACCTGAATTGAAAAAAAAAATTTAAAAAAAAACTCGCTAATTTTATAATTTTTCCATATTAAAGAATAATGCTTAATAAAACACAATTTATAAGAAAATTGAACTTAACGTAATAAAATTTCACCTTAAGCTGTATCGGAACCATAATCTAGCATAGTGAAGGTTTTTACTAAATCAACTTAAAAAAAATAATTTTTTATTCAAATGCAGTAAAGAATTTTTCAAAGCATAAATAAGGAAACTGCAACTATCCTGTCGTAGTATTCAACAACAACAACAAAAACAAAATATAAAAAATAATTCAAAAAAAAAGTATAAAAGCTTAAAGGTAATACCAAAGGCTTGGGAAACTATCTTTGAACAAATTGAAATAAAAAAAAGATTAAGTAAAAAAATTCTACAGATTTTATAATAGAATTTTTTATTCCAACATCTAAGCGAAAGGATAAAATTCAGTGAATTTGTATATGTGTATGTGTGTGTGTAATTACACTTACCTAAACGCGGCTATTAAATCCTCAGTGACATCATCGTTTTCCTCTGGTTTGCTTGCATTTTCTTCCTGTTGCGTTTGCTGCTGTTGTTGTTGTTGTTGCTGTTGCTGCTCGTCACGTATGGCTTGTATGCGTCCGACCCATTGCAGGAATTCAGCCTCGTTTATTAACCCATTTCCTGTAAAACAATAAAAAAAAAGAATTTAGAAAAAATTGTATTATTTGTCACAGTAAAATGGTATGACTAAAAAATTGCACGTATAATAAAAAACATAATTTTTTCTAAAGCGTATAGAAATAAGCGCGCTTGTGTTTAAAGTGTAATTAACATTTTTATAAATAAAAATAAAATATGCAAATAGTTTAAAGAAAAAAATGTATTAAACAAAAAGCATTGGTCTTTTACAAGTTCTCCTTGTTGAATGCTGCAACATTAAGATCGTAATAAAAATATAACAATAAAATAATCACATACACTCGCACAAACACACACACGCAACCGCACATTTACATCGACAATTTAGTTTTCCACACAGCCAGCGTTTGTTGCCTAACGAATACGTGGCACAAATGCTCGTATTGTGTGCCGCTCACTTCTGTTTACTACTTATGCAACTGTAATTGCAATCGCAATCGCAATCATAATCAACAAATAAAAACAAACGAGAGCAAAAATTAAATTAAAAGCAAACAAAAACAATGTTGGTCTTGTTGACTGCAGCTGAATCTCTACAAAACCGTTGCCAACAACAGCAATCAATCAATTAATCAACGCTCGATCAACAATCAAAATATAACTGAAGAAAGGAAAAATTTGTGTAGGAGTTGTGCGCTATGAAGAAGACATAAAACAACAAATTA